AGGTATCTTTGGTACCTTGATTGGATATCCTCAAAATTCCCAAGGATACACATTGTTACCAATCAGAAATATATCACAGTGGCCATAAGGATATGGAAACCCCTAAGAAAAAACTTATTTATGGTATATGACAAATTTTAACTAGTACAATCTATACAAGTTTTGTGACTTCATCTGAAGCCTTTTGAATCATGGATTTACAGGTAAAGCCTGCTATATATTATCAAGTCAGATATCAAATATTAACAATTTCTCTTACCATTATTTCCCTGGCCTGGCTTCAATTGGGCCAGAGTTGATACTGACAAATTTCAGAAAAATCTGTCACACCTAACACACTGTCACACCTAACACAATGTCACACCTAACACCCTGTCAAATCAAACACACTGTCACACTTTACACTTTCCATTTCACACTTAAAACTAAATCATTAGCTTATAGCACTTTGACGTACATTCATATATTCATTACGCAGCGCTTGGAAATGTGCAAAACATAAGTTGGGCGTGTTGCACGGTGCCGATTATTTTGGTTAAACCTCTTATTTATTATATTAAACCTACCTACAGCCTCCTTCCATGTCTCACACTCAATAAATCCTGTCTGATTCAGATCCTGTATGCGAGGGTCGACTTGGAAGGTCACCCCTTTGGTTGTCCCTGTCGTGTTCAGAGTAGAGAGGGGGTTGGACAGGGGGAGAGAGATCTCCTTACAACGCTGGTCACGGGGCTTTGAAACACAGGACATTGTGATTAATATGGTCCTATTTATGAAGTAAAAAATGGCTGCCTATCTGCATATAATTTTTCCTGTATATAATCCCAGATTTGAGTTTCCCCGTGAAGATATCATACATATGTCTCACTAGATCATATCCCTGTTTTCAAATATTTGCCATCACCTTGAGCTGGTATATTCCAAGTAAATTGTTCCAACTTGATTCATTTCCATCATGTCAGCATTTGGAATTCCCCTAAAGGCATCTCGACTTCCTATCCATTAAACAAACCATCACCTTTTTCTCTAACTCATTTTCTAAAAATCTCTTCAGCTGTGCTTGAAACCTCTACATATTAATTCACAGAATGCAAAATATGCCTCTCTCTCTTCTCCTGCCTGTGTCACACAGCTGTTCTCCTTCCTTGATGACTAGACTCCCATTTTTAATGGTATCTGACATAAATTTAAGCAATTTTCAGAACCAATGTCTCTCAGCAGCTCTGTTTGATCTATGTGCAGTCAGACCACCTCACTTACAGTTCATTTCGATTGGGAGTCCCCTCCCTTTCGGTATCTTTCTCTTTCAGTGGTCAATCTCTCTAACTGCCCAGTGGTTCATTAACCAGTTTCTTTGTATCTATAGTAACCTAGCCAATTCCTCTTCCATCATTCTTTCTGGAAACTGTTTTCTTTTGGTAACTCGATATTTATCAAACAAATGCCTCTGTAGTCAATCTCTTTGGCAAGTTTGGCCGTGGTCAATCTTCCTTTCAGACTGGTCACTCCCTCTGTCACCACAAGTTATCTAAATGTTTCCACAAGGTCAGTCTGGTGTCCAGTTTCAACCTGTCATCACTGCCAAATCAAACAGCTTCCTCTCTCCATCAAGTATATATGTATGCTGGGCCTTAACTATAATGTTCAGTTGGTCTACACCTCTACTCACTCACTCACTCATAGTGTTATAAACTCTTCACAACGGCAGCCCTGTAACATTACAGTCATGTTTACACAAAGACTAAACTGGACCGAAAAACTGACTGACTAATGTCAACTTATGACCCGATTACATGAGCATCCTTAAGTGCACCTTGTTGATCAAATGCTAGTCAATTTAAGGCCAAGTTAGTCTAAGTGTGACTACTTTGTCACATCTTCTTGAAGCCCTAATTTTAGTCAACTATTACATCTGTTTTGTAATGTTCTTCGATAGTTTCTCTTTTGGCATTTAAGGTCACATTCAGTTTCACATTTCTTATTAGCTGGGTCAGTCCAACTCTGTAGGGAATTCTTGCTAAAGTGTAATCAGTGGAATCAGCTTAATCAGCACACAATAGTTAGTTACTCCCTAGCAGCTAGAGGTGTGTCTGCTTCTACTGATTGCACTTTAACGAGTATCCCTCGCAGAATTGGACAGACCCAGCAAATACAATGGGTGAATCTGAATGCAGTCTAAAGGACCACACCTTACTTACAAAGCACTTACAAAGAACAGTCTGTCTTTTCTGGTTTCAGTGCATTATAGTCACCCTGAGGTTCAAAATACTATATTCAAAAATATAATATAAACTTTCAAAACAACTCTGCAAAAACTGATACAAAACTGATAGTACAAGTTAGTTAAATACAAAATAAAGTTATACTTTGATACAGGAATTTCCCAAAAACCCATGTTCAATGACTTTCACAAAAGGTGTCCAGCTTTTGCCAAGCTTATGCTCTTCACTGCTAAAATCAAAAGATGGTTACAGAAGAGAATTTCTGTTAATCTGAACCTCAGGGTGAGAGCAGTGTGTACACTGTAATATATATCCAGTTATGCTGTTACTGTTCCACACTTAGTATTATCAACAAACATTGAAGAATTTGTATCCTTTTAGCAAACACAAATTTAGCATCTTGGTCCCTTTATACTATTCCTCAGTAACTTTTGCATTTAAGTTGGAAAATGGAAAACAATTTTTTTCATCAAATTGACAATTTAACATGTAATTGTATACATCCTAAAGATCTTTTCTTCTTGAGTTTTGAAATGCATTACCAATTGTTTTATTAATACATATTGGCAACAATTTCAAAGCCAATTCTACCAAGTCATTTCTATCATAGATATTTTGGCCACCTTAAGCCAAATTCCTAGCTCGTGTCTACCTATGAATCCATGTGCTTTAGATCCATAAAAAGATAAAGTTCTACCCTTAGTCTATATATATGTTATGTGCAAAAAGCTTATAATAAACATCCCATTAATGTCAAGAACAATTATCCAGGTAGATACTACGTTTCTTTTACTTTTGTCCAGACTGCACTTAAACATTTTCTCTCTCACACAAGCTCTGTTTGCTTGGTGTGCACAATATAAACTGCCCTGGTTAGATACAGACTACAGTGTTCTGAGATTTCTTCCAACACATTAGTTTATTTTGGGGATACTTTTAAGAACTCATTATTTCTGAACTGTATACAGAGAAGAAAAAAACAGAACTGTTTTTTTTCTGAGTCACATTACCTCTCAAAGAACACTTAGTCTAAGATGTTTTCCCATTTTCTTAACAGCAAAAGACAGTTTCCTCATCCAAGTTTCTTAAACATGCTGGCCACCCAGTCTCAAGTGTTTCAAACTAGTTTAAAAAACTTTTGCCTGTCAACTTAAAAGCATCTCACAACAGTACTGTGCACTGCAAGTCATTATCTTCTCTGGAAAGTGATGTACTGTAGTTGTTTCCAAAGATTCTTTTCTATATGTGAATGGATGTGGTTTCTGATTTAACATTGGAAGACTGTCAGCCTGGTTGGAATATATAAGGAATATAAATGTCTTTTTATAAAATTATGGCATATTTTTTAATATCCCATCCCCCCCCCCTTCTGAATTCACACCTGTAGTGAGTGTGCTTCTAAATTCCTTAAGTTCATTGTTCTGAAGGTTCATTATGACAAAGGTCCACTATATAGAAGGTTTCCTATTCCAAAATAGGCGGACAATACAGAAAGAGTGTAAAGAAAAAAATTATAGTAATCAAATCACCAGTGGATACTAAAGCGGAAAAAGTCAAACCATTCTTGGAAAACGCAACAGTAGATATTCTCATTGGGCTTTGAGTGTAATTAAGGCAAAGAAGAGG